ATCATTTCTGGTATGAAAGTGAATAATGCTAGTTTTCATTCATACGTCCCCCGTTACCTACGCAAATACACGACCGTTATTAGAAACCTGCACTTTTCCACCATAAGTAATGACATTGCAAATGCTTTGGCTGAGTTGGGACACTCAGTAAACACATATACAACGTAAAAAATAAAAGCAAATACCCTCTACTCTTATTCTTTGTGGATATTTTAAAATGAGACTAAAGTATTGATAGAAAAGCCGCATGTGAAGTGACGTGGCCAACCACAATGTTACAACTGCCAAATCTATGGGCATACACAAAATAAATACAAACATGAACCTAAATGCGTTAAGTGTGGTGAAAACCACCCTACTAACGAGTGTTCCAAATATCAACACAGCCCTGTCAAATGTGCACTTTGCAATAATAGGAACATAGTGCAAACTTTAAAGAATGTCCAGTTCACAAAGCTGCTTTAAAAAAAAAAAAAAACTATCCCAAGAGTCCCTTAAGTAAAGAACTCTGATTCCAACACCTATCTTAAAACTAAATCTTACACCAAAAATCAAAACTCACACACACGAAACACAAAATCACCGATATTTTTTCAAGTATATTAAATTTAAACTTACTAATTAGTCCCCTTGTGACCCTTATCTAATCATTCTTARATGAGCTTACAGCTAATGGCAGTATTTTATAACCTTGTTCTCATTAAAATTCACGTCAAATTTTGTTCAGTTATCATATATTAATACATCTTATCTCTATTATTTTTATCATTATATTATTTAAAAATATCTATACCTAAGCAATTAAGACTTGGTAAAACTAATAAAACATTGYAAAATTGTATAGTTATTTATATACTTATAATAGMGTGTGATAWACTGATATACTGACATCTGTCACACATTAATATATTAAATTTAAAAAAACTGCATTGCTGCCTATTCATCTTCATATTTTAACCAAATTTTTTGAGCATGTCTGAATGCTTTTTTTATTGAATGTATTGTAATGACTTAAATATTTATAAATGTTATTGTGAAAGTTTTAACGTACCTATTTACATATGTCATAAATAAATAATAACGTTACCACGAAACATCTGCGTTAGACTTCCTAARAGCCTCGTCAATCACTGGCCAACCAAAGGGTGTTAAATGTATTCTTCACGTCCGGGGTAACCAARACGCAGAGGTCTTTCTGACTGGCAACTGACGCGGCTTGAGCGGCAATGCTCAGTACTTTATCCGCAGCCGATTCGGTGCTAACACCCTTACGGAAGCCGTACTGATTTCCGGCTCTCCTCCGGCCACTGTGCTCGTCAAGGTGAGACACCAGATATTTTCAACAACATCAAATTAAAATTATGTATATATATACCTATACTTATAAATACGACATAAGATTGAACTAGAAATGTAAAAATACACTATAAGATAAAAATAAAATAAAATAAACAACACTGGTGAATAAAATAAAATAAAGGAGTTGTTAATTAAAAATATGGTCTTGTTTAATTCACAATAAGATTAATTGACAAAGAGTTTTAATGGACTAATCAGTAATTCATAGAAATTCCGTAAGTAGGTACCTACCTAATGAGTTTAATTCACTGAGTCCAATGTTCAATAAAACTAATTAATTTTGACGGYATTTTCGATTTACTGATGTGTAACTATACCACTGGCTATTCCAATGACTAACCCATTCGTAAATAGAAAGTATAGGTATAATATGCAAATATTTTGTAACTATGGTAAAAAATGTATATGAAATAACAATTCAAAAATAAAAGCACATAATTCGCCTCTCTGGAACAAGACATTAAAAATAAATTAGGAATTTATTAATTTTGACTTTTTGATTTACGGCTACTTTCGAGCAGTAAAAAAAWTAATTCTATTGAATACAAAAGCTCCAATATCCAATATCGTTTTTAGCGATGCCACCAAAATTATGTCTGTATTGAATTTTCAAATAATTTTTAAAGCAACAGAGCCATATTGATAACTCTGTACATCAGTAACCTATGTGGATATGTTTTTTAATTTTTCTAATTTATCACCGAAATCAAAACTCAAGTCTGCCTTGGTTCGATTTTTGGAGTTCCTTAGTTAAACTTATTTTTGTGTGATAAAATTATGTTGAGCGAAAAACAGTAATATTTTGCGTTATGGTGATATTGCATTGCATAATTTGTGATATTGCAGTCGTAATATGGAATACGTCAGACTTGTATTCAAATAGAAATTTTTATTGCCACATCTTAAAATATTGCATTCTTGCATTCACATAAAAAATTGTAAAAAACCATAAGTTTAATTTTTTGGGTTTAGGAGAGTAGATCTATTTCATAACATTTAATAAATTCAAGATTTAAAATACCTATGAATATAAGTATTTACATTTTTAGTTTTAAATACATAGATTAAGAATTCTTTAAAATATCGTAATTATAAACTTAAAATCGATTATTCTGAACACTATAAATTTTGAGTTTTGAAAATCTCGTTGTACAGCCATTAGCCACAGTTTCCTTATATAATATGAATTGATATGATATTACTTTAAAACACGCGTGAGATATTCTATTCTTAATCGATATGTTGTACGCGAGAAAAGCAATACTATCCTAAAAGTAAACTATTGTTACTTACCTTACATCTTATAAGAATAATAAAATACGATTTAATGCATTACCTACCTATATTTCAATGATTTGACATGTTAATATGACATATATTTTTATGTAATTTGTAAAAATTATTAAACTTCGATATTTTCCAACTATAAAAATGAAATACACCCATACCTTAAAAAAATAGCTTAAAAATCAATATTTTGAGTTTCAGAGTTGAGTGTCCAAATAAATTGAAAAAGCAGTCTACCAAGACCAATAATTTGTATAAAAATAAATGTATTGATTAAAAATATTTGAAGGTATAAAACATTATAATTTGCAATGCGTGAAAATAATACTCCAAGGTATTTGTAGAATTTTAACTTAGAACATTATAAAAGTAGAATAACATTTACATAATACATAATAGGTAGTTATAATGTTTTTTATCAGAAAAATTGTCTAAGTCAGTAAACATCTTGTAGATTATGCACATATTATTCATTATATATTTATATTTTTATACATCATATGTCATGTCAATAATATTATAATATAGTTATAATATGGACATTTTAAAATAAAAGCAGTATCATAAAAGGAAATAATAACCCCTTTGTAAAAGGATAATTCAAAATCTGCTTTTATTCTCGAGCTAGCTATACCAAACATTGTAAAATGGATAAAAAATTGTAATCTTAATGTGGAATCTTATTTTAATTTCAAAATAGTATATTTGCGTTTTATTTTAAACTTAATATCAAAAGTAGTCATTATTATTATTAGTATGATATAAAAAAAATAAAAATAATAAAAATATGTACCTATATATACTTCCTATATATACTTCCTATACCTATTCAAACAGATCGTTTTTTGAATGCATTACCTACTTTTCTTTAAATAAGCGATACTTATTAAAACACAGATTTCCTTCAATGTATTATGACTTATGAGTAATGACATTCGAACAGATAACCTGCCATACTTGATCATCCTAAGACACGTGTCTTTATGCCACAATCACTTCAATTGTCTATACAACAAAATACGTAGTACGTGATAACGTAGAATTAGTAATCTTCTATATATAAAAATATATAGGGATCCCCTGTTTCCTTTGGTCATCGCATCACGCGTGAACGGCTGAAGCGATATCTCTAATTCTTTTTTTTTCTGTGGTTGTAATTGTCAGGAGAATGTTCTTATGTAATACAATTTTAGAAAAATCTGAAATATAAATACGGAATCTGGATGTAAAAATCAACAACAATAACGTCACTGTCYAGCAAGAAAATAAACTATATTTTTGTTCATTGTAAGGGTCACTTTTAGTTATGATTGAATATAATAGTTGCAGACCTTTTATTATATTTAAACCATAACAACAAAAATAAGAATTAGTGAAATCCAAAAAATAATGAAGAATACAATAATTTTCTTTAATTTCTAGTTGAATTTTCGTTTTTGAAAATTCCAGCAATTAGACTTACAAACTTAAGTCACAAAACTCGCAATGCTGCGAGTCAAAGGTATGCAAGAGCAATTCAAACTGCAAACGGGCTACGCTAAGCGCGGAATGAAGTTGAACGGAATCGAAATCAACAGCATAGAAATATTGCGTTTAACCCCTATCGAGCTGCATTCAATTATAATGTGGATATCAATTACAGTTCACGGCAAATCGTTGTTATTGGACCACTAAACTTAATTGTGTTTCAATATTGCAAAGCATTTATGGTTAAACATTTCCCATCAACACTGATTGATTTATTGAACAAATATAAAGATCACATGGCCGAAGATATATTACATCAAAAACGTCTTAGAACATCAAATGCAAATTTCCAAATTAACGAAGGAATGTACAATGAAGCATAAATTTTAATTGAAGACATGTGCTTAATGCTTACCAACAAAGGTTAGGTCTTTGGAAGCATTAGACCGMACTGCAAGATTTACGAAAGAACCAAAATCGGTTTGGTGGTRCAATGATTTTATACCACAATCAACGCCAGCTGACGAACTTAACGCATGTTTAAATTCATCCATTTTATGGAAAGACGTTAACACGCTCAAAATTAAATATGAACATGCGAGTCGAATCGTAGAACGACCAATCTGGAGAAGTTTTTTAAAAACAATTGCTCGATATTGGTAATRGCAAAATACCTGTTGACACGTCGTCTGAAAACATCATATTTCCTACCAATTTTTTTTCACTTTACTGAAACTAAAACCGAACTCATCAAGAAGGGTTTTCCAAACATTGCTCAAACTTTCAAAAATCATGTATGGTTAAACGAAAGAGTGATATTGGTTGCAAAAAATGTTAATGTCGACGAAATTAATTTTCAAATTCAAAACAAGATATATGGCAAATTAATGACATACAAATCGATTGATTCCGTTGCTAATCAAGATGATGTTGACAACTATTCAACGGAGTTTTTAAATTCGCTGGAATTGCCGAGATCTCATAATCTGCAATTAAAAATCGGATCGGTAATCATTATGTTGCGGAATATAAACCAGCCACGTCTTTGTAATGGCACCCGACTTGTGGTGAAAAAATTAATGAACAACGTAATCGAAAGCCATAATTTCGAAAGGAAAGTACAAAGGCGAAGACGTTTTGATTCCACAGATTCCTTTGATTCCGAACAGCATGCTATTCGACAGGTTGCAATTTCCAGTGCGGTTAGCATTTGAAATTTCGATAAATAAATCCCAAGGGTAGTCKTTAAGCGTTTGTGGCATCAATCTTGAAAATTCCTGTTATTCACATGACCAGTTATATGTCACCTTWTTCCGTGTCGGAATACCAACAAAACTATTTATAGTATTTATATATGGCGCAAGAAAAATATATATCATAAAACATTAGAATAATAAACATTTTTTGAAGTATTTTTTTTTTTTATTAATTATACCAATTGGAATTCAATATTTATAATTAAGACAGGATCACTACGTCTGTCGGGTCAGCTATTATAAAATATAAATCAATGTTTTTCTTTCTTTTTTAATTCTGGTTCCCGGGTGTTTATAACAACCACGGCTGTCAAAAAGAACATTACAATGACATGTAGTTGGTGAACTTAATGTTATTATAATAAAATACAAGGCTATGGTATTAAAAACTTTAGAAATCAGGCACTGCAAATAAGAAACTATAAAAACAGCCGAAAACTATATAGCTCTATTAGCTTATAAAAGTAATTGGACTCGATGTGACCATCGATCCCTAAAACTACAATAATAATAAAATAAAAATGGTACATTTTGTTAACTACTGTAAACAGACCTTTTGTATAGTATATACTGCACCAGAATTGCGCAATAATTTTAACCTTGAAATACATTTTTTACGAAATGACACATATTGTACAGCAAGTCAATTAAATAATAAAACACTGCATTCTCAGTTTAAACGTTCGCTAAAAATATTGTGTACCTATACACAATATCGTATATTATTCTAAATCTCTATTAAAAATTAGAATTTTTTGGTTCACAGTAAATTCACATAATGAATAGTATAAAAATATTTAAATTTATGATTTATCTAAAGATAAAAAAATATTGTGTTCAAATTTAAAACTTCATAAATTATAAGTAGGTATATTATAAAATATTAAATGTTGCGATACTTAAACATATAATATTGGTAGATATATAAAATACAYAGAGACACAACTAGATAACAATCAGTCACACTCGGGTAACCCACGGKACTAAATTGAAATGTTTAATAAAAAAAAAATTATAAATAATTAAATACCTAGCACAAATTAACACGAGACCTATGCGTCCCAAAAACGAATAACTGTATTTTAAGAATATCAAATAAAATGCAGGTTTTCTTTATAATAATATGCGAATAAACATTTCATACGTTCATAATAGATATTAATGTAGCAGCGAAAGCATGAAGCCATAGTTGATTAATATATGAATTAATGATCCAYGCCCCATCCCTTATTACAGTCTACAATCATTAGTCTACAAAGTAATATTTTAATGATTCTAAAGTTTTAAGCTTACTATTACTAGGATCCCCCTCCTTAGTCTCTACTCATTTATTCAATATGTCTTCAGCTTTTAAGTATTACACACAATACACATATGTCTCTATTMCACTTCCTTCCCTCAAAATATATAATAGTGACAAACAATTTAAATGATTAAAACTACGTTACTATTTACACAAAAAGACTATAAATAAAATTAATCCTACGTTTAACTAATATTTTAATTATATTATAAATATAATTCGTGTTTCCTTTATGAATAATAGTAAAACAAATAGTTGATTTTTACGTATTTATTATTAAATTAATTCTTTAATTGTTAAATCAAAATATGCACTTATTGTAAAGTCCCCCAAAAAATATCTCTATGAAATATAAGGTAGGTATACTTAAAATGATACATAATACTACTTTAATGTGTAACTACTACTAAATTCTTTAGAAAAAGTATTTAAATAAAAAAATGCGTTATTAAAAACTCACTCAATGTTCTAAATCACTAAAGATTCAGAGTATAATTTTAATTTTCTTATTAAAACAATCATAATTAAAAAATTAATTTGAAATCTTATGCTTTAATAAATCACTAAGGTTTCAAGGTACTGATGAATTTTTAGTTTTTTTCTTTTTTTTTTTTGTTATATATTATTATTTCTTTTAATTTTATACTGCCCGTAATGTAATCTCATCAAAGTGTAGTAAGTAATAATATAATTTATTAACGAAGCTGTATTTAGTAATACCATAAGCAGTAGKTACGTATATTGGTTGAAACATGGTTCATAACTGAATTAGTAAATACTGAACTAAAATGCTAGAGGCTCTGTTACCTTTCATCAGATCTCAAGTTGTAATTTGAATTCCTGCAACAATGTCAAAAACTTCAATTCAATAATTAATAATATATACTAATAATAATAATWATTATTATTTTTAATAATATATACCTACTTAATAATTGAGTATATATTTTAGTAATGCCTTATTAGTTATTAATATTACTACATATCTTAATAAATTGCATATTTATACTACATTTTTATTGTATAATCTAAACTCAAAATTATGTAATTTAGTTAATTTATATTATTTAAAACTGTTAACAATCTAAACTTTTACACTACAAAATGTTTATAATAATAATAATAAAATATTACGAGTAGAGGTATATGGGTAAAACAAAATTAAGTACCTACCTAATTTCTATAGACACAAATTTATACAAATAGGTAGGTACATTTAAAAATGTATTTTTTTGTTCATAGGTAGGTACTCAGATAACGATTGAATGTAAATTACTTTGGTCTTCGCTACAATTATGAATTAAAGGCATTTGAGTATATAGGTATATCCATTCGCTCAATATCGGACAAAACTAATATAAGCTATAAAAATAGGAATATATTATGGTGGTTAAAACTCACAAACTTTCTAATGCGTATGTTGCAATTACATTCCTTAGACATTATAGTGAGTTGTTATACCTTAGAAATATTATAGGCACCATGTTAAATAAATGAATCCATAGTGCAATGTTTTGTGACCATGTATCTATATAGTACAAAACGTGTTTGGGCTCATATTAGAAGGTATCGTAGGTACATAGAGGGACATTAAATAAAACTTTTTTATGGTCTCTTGCCTTGTACAGTTTTACGATTGAAATTTAAAATTCTTACCGTCAAATTGTATTATTATTTAATTCAGCCTACGACTCGATGTCACCGCAAACTCATAAATAATGAACCATAATAATGGTATATTATACTATAAAGTTCTATATATTCTTATGCTCGTAGTAATGTAGTATATACCTGAAAATTGAAATGAACCCAAACGACAGAAACTTAATATACCCAGATCACCGATGATTCCCGAGCTTTGGAGAAGTAATTTCAATATTTAAATACACAACCAAAATTTGAGTCGGAAATGAAGGACCATTGATTACACAACGATGGTACGCAGAAACAAATAATTTTTTTTTTTTTTGTATCAAGACCGCAAATACGAATTTAAAATAAAAAGTTATATTAACTTTACTCGAAAAATAATACTTATAATGAAAATAATTTTCATTTAATATTAAAATATGTTAATCTTTTATAAAAAAAACTACATCAAATGTATGGAATAAAAGCAATAATAAAGTGCCGAAATTATTCTAAAACGCATGTTCGATCATGAATTTCCTCAACAATAGAATTTTGAACAGTTTTAACTGATAAGATGAGCTTAAAACCAATTCGCGTTTTACTGGTTAAGTCAAACAATAAAGTATAAATAAAGAATGATTTTGATATTTTTTTCAAAAAATAAAATAAACTCATGAATTTTTTATGCTGTTAAAAGAAATATTAAAACTTTAATTCGCAAAATACACAACTGCTTAAAACACACAGTAAATATTCAAACTGGTGAACAACACACGATTATTAATATTTCTGACATTTATTTTGTAATAGACGTTTTATTACGGATTTTAATTTACGAACTATATGTAAATACCTATACCTAATAATAGGTTAACGAATAAAAAAACATAAAAGCTTTACTGTCACGTGGTATCCAGAAAGATTAATCTTGACTAATGTTTGAAAAGTTGTTATCTTCCTTTTATTTTTTTCCAACTGATTTTCTCTCATCATAAAAATACTCAGAATAATTTGAACTAAAACTGGCTTAAATAATGGGTTAACCAACTCATCTGTTTTTGTTTTTTTTTTTACTTCAAATGTTTTTCCTAAAAATTTTGCATTTAATGTTTACATTTTTGAATTATATTTTGGCCTGAACTTTGTCCATAATTCTGCGACGAATTTTAACTGTACACTTTACCGAAGACCAAATTAGTATTTCATACAAAATTAACTAAATGTAGAACAATTCATTCAATTATATAATAATACACACAATTTGGATACATTATAATATTATATATACCATCTGTAATATTTTAGCGTTCGCTTGATTTATCCAATCATTTTGCTGATATGCTGATATTATAATCAGACTGCTKTGGATTTCGAACAACGTTAGGTATAGAATGTTGCATTATTGTTATTGTGGGTCTATTCACAAGAGTATAGACATTGCCTACCTACTTAATATTGGCTTTCAAGTGTCAATCAGTGTAGGTATTGTATTATAGGCAGTTGTGTGAGTGTATAACAGAAACAAAACATAGTGTATTATCCGTGAATATTGTGACCGTATTATAAATATTTTAAGTTATAATTATTTTATATAATAATAATTCAAATTTATTTAGTTAATAATCAACTGTTACAATAGTAAAACACATTCGCGGCTTATATGCTTTACACCAACCTGCGTCCGTACTCCGTACCACAGAGTAAAATGTTTACAGATTTATTATAATTACATAGTTTTACTGGTGTACAAAACTTCAACAAACAGTCAATAGTTGAGAAACTATATATTACCAACCAGACTACAATTTTCCAAAATTAAAACTGTTGACAAACTTGACAAAACTATCTTACACACTCATGCTTCAAAATATGTACATTGCACAACGATCATATTTTCTTTAGCACGCGTCATTATAATATGTTATACCTATCCGTTGCTTGATTAATGTTATCACATGATTATTTTATATTATGTCAATAATTTAATTAWTAGGTAGTATTTATATATTATTAGAATAATCTTTAAAAATTGCCTATGTTTTGAATAGATATTCAATCATTTAAAAAAAATATATAACAGCCATCGTAAAATTCACTCAATCATTTTCAATATTTCTCTGTATCATTCATCGTCCTCCGTTTCCAAATTATACGTGCGATTAGGACGTACATAGCAGTCATTATTATTGTAAGGACTTTTTTTCCAATTGCACAAATAAAATWTACGTTACAATAAGTGGTGGAGAGCTTCATTCCACAACTCATCCCACTAAATACCCTAATATTAAAAAAATATATATTTATATATATATATGTACGAAAATTTGTGCACTCCAAAATCGGTAAATCTCAAATGTGCGCCCTTAAAAATAAAAGTGTGCGCCTAACTTGTCATAGCACATTAACCAATAAAGTATAAACTATACTTTTCGTTCACTAATTCCTCCACCCTCTTTTAAAACCAAATTAACAAGTTACAAATACAATTATTTGCTTTTCGAAAAGTTGGAAAAAAATAGCTGCATCATTCACGTACATTAATTTATTTGTACACGTGCCATTACAACGTAAAAACAATTATATCATAAAGTATAATATAAGAGAATATAAAACTCATTGATTTTAATTAATAATTCTATTAAATAATACGATCCTATGATAATGTTAACAATCATCAAGATCTGAGGTTGATCAATGTTAATCATGTATACATACATGCGCATTGCACAAATTTATTTTGGATCGAATACAATAGAACTGCAAATTGCATTAAAATAACTGCGGTTATTATAATTTTGTGCAGTTTGAGAATTGCACTGTCTTTAATATGTAGGTAGGTAATAATATTAAAAATATCAGTGGTAATACGAATCTAAAAGGTATGCAGCAGTGACTGAGTGTAAATGAGCACCTATTCGTTATTACATTGTATTTGGCGTAAGTACCTTTTCTTCATATCATATATAATTTAATTTTTTATATAAAAATTTGAAAAATACTGTAACGTGCTGTTTGTATATAGACGTACGCACTTGCATTTACGGCTACAGTGTCATGGTACACTGGTACGGGTGCTATCGGTATGGTAAAGGTTGCTAACCATATATTACCTAATGCATTTCAAGTCAAATTTGGATATATAAATGAAAAATAACAGTTTTTAGTTTTTTTTTTGTTAGGTATACCTAGGTAATTAAAAAAATAATATTCGTATAGAGACCCGATACTACCTATATACATAATATCTATATTATTATTTAAAATACACAATGATATTGGATTTTGGTGAAATGAATTCAGAGTAGGTATATTTTGTTCCCAAATCTATTTTTTTGACCATATCTTCGCATTTGGAGCAGTAAACATTTTCACTCAATTTATTGAAGCTGATTTCTGAGTAAACTTAAATAATAAACCATAACTGTTATTAGCATTTTATGTACTTCTATTATAGACACGACATAATTATAAGCCATGACCTATAACTATTCAATATGACTAGGAATACTTAACACAATAACACGTACTACATAATAGTTGACAGTAGACATAACTCATTAAAAGTTTAACTATTAACTACTATAAAAAAATATATCTGTTTTTGAATAAAAAGAGTTCAATATTAGATATAGACATAGAAGTATAAGTAGGTATTTAATATCTACTTCTACCTATATCTATATGTTGTTAACAATTTAGCGTATTTAATGTAATAAATTATATACTACCTAATTCAGCGTTATTATGTTACCTATAGAAAATTAGAAATTTGCGAATTTAAATTTTAAAATGCTTAATACACACTTTTTAGTTACTTGACGAGGGTATAGACAAATATTACCTATCTCTGGAAAACAGATATTGGTTTTTACCTACTATAAAGTTAATTCATTTTTAAAAATACGATATCTAAATAGGTAATAAAACTATAAAGTTTGAACTTCAATAAATCTTTACAATTTAAAAGAAAATGATCAAATAAAAATATATTATACCTACCTATCTACTTTAATTCAGTGATCGCCCTCACGGTTCATGGATCAGACGCTCAAACGCTCTATCCAACTTCATTATAGAAAATGGTCTTTAATATTTACAAAGATGAGGAGTCATAGAAAATTATCGCCACGGGCAACAAAATGTATTCTAAATTTGTCTCTGAAAGGCTCTCCACGGCTCACGGCGCGCGGCGTTTGATATTATAAAGAGTGCTTTTTATTTTTATTTTTTTTAAACTCTTTGTGGCTTTGAATGTAATGTTATCGAAGATGAACAGCAAGTTTACTTCTTAGTATCTGCATAATATATAGGAGTAAGTTTTCGGCCATATTGCTTGTCAATATTTTTTTGTTTACGAAGACCCTAATTTAAATGCACACAATTGGCGATGTTTACTTGTTGAGAACCACTGTTTTAGGCATTTACAAAGTCAGCCATAAAAGTTGAGCGTGTTTCGTCTTAATAATGAATAGACGCGTACATTTTAGGTGATAAAACGTACCTAGTTTGAAATTCCTCAGATGAAGACTTCGTAGTATACACTAATTGATGTAACGAAATCGTTCAACTTTGCCTTTGATTAAATTTGTACAGTTGTAGGCCACAGTTCACAATATTAGTAGATGAAAAATAATAGGTAAGTGGTTACTTCGTACTTTATACCAATGGCCCAAACAAATAATAAAGCTGAAAACAAAATATATTATTTTACCCGATGATCATAAACGTGCTTTAGATATTTTGGTTATTATTTATTATGGCCTGGCAAAATCAAGTCTGATAATACAGTGCGTGCTATTTTTTTTTTCAAGTGATAAAACAATTAATATCAAGTAAAATAAATATAAAGTTGCAATACACGAAACAGTGGTATATTCGAGGGGGTGGATAAAACAATGAATCTTTTCATTTAAGTAAATAACACTAACAAATTGAAATAATTAAATAATACATATATATTTTAGACTGTTATTATATCAATTAAAATTATCAATATAGTAATATATTAAATATATTAATATATAAGTATAAATAACAAAAAGCCCCATTTAAAGTAAACTGTGTTATTTAAAATATATACAGTTTGATTTTTTACAGTAAATTTTCAATTTTCTAGAAGAATGCTATAAACATAATTTAACATTTTTACAGTAAAATAATTGGTAATTAATAGGGTAAAATATGTACAATCCAAATTAATATTAAAGTACACAATTCAAACAAATAAAAAAATAAGTAATTTTTTTATAACAAATATTTATACTTTTTATTGTGATTAATGACTTGTACTAAACAGTTTGTTAAATCTAAAATTGTAGTTAATGAAACAAATGGTCAACATAAGATATGCTAACAAAATATTCTTTAAATAAAAAAATTGATTGAATTTAAGTACCATAAATTACTTATTTTTAACAATATTTGCGTAGTTACTTTCCAACACTAAATTTATACTTAACACTTTATAATAATATAACAGTTAATCATTATACAATGATAAGTAAAAAAAAATGTTCAGAAAAATAATTATAAAATAAAGTAAAAAGTGTCTAATAAAATATAATAGGCAATTTATTATATCATCATTCTTCATTAGACCAATTGCAAATGAAATGGAATATACAATATTACAATAATTAACTCATAAAAACTTTGGAATATTTTTGATAAAATGTTGAAAAGGTAAAGTGCTTTAACTTTGATTTAACTCTGCTGTGTTGATATCACTTATTTCATTATTATCTGGAGGAACATTACTTGTTTCTTCATTTGAAAAAATCTCATTATTCTGTTGTTCCATATCTGCTCCAAAATAAAAGTCATTATGAGTTTCACGACATTTTTCTTCCATATTCATATCTTGATTAACATCATCTACTTGAGATGCAAACGTGTTGATTGAACAATGCTCCTCGTGATTTGAATTGTTAAAAGATTCTTCATTAAAAGATTGGTGGTTATTAGATTGGTCATTTTCATAAGTATTACTACAATCAGAGTTGAATTGTACATTTTGTTCAAACTCTTCATTGTTTTGGCTCATTTCATTTACTTGTTGGGAATTAAAATTGTCCTTAGAATCTCTTTGATATTCTTCTTGAGGTTGATACTCATGATGTTTTTCTTCTATATGTTGCTGTTCAATGTTGCCTAGGGGTAGGTTTTGTGAATTTTGCTGTGTGTCTTTAATATTGTCGTGGGACAATTCTTGTGAATTATTGGTAAAATCGTTTTGATAATCTTCAAATTGTTGATCTTTATTATTACATTGCACATCAATATTTTCTTCAACATTCTTCTTATTTTCGTTATTTGATTCAGCATCATAAACACCCACGTCATGGTGTTCCTGAATCTCATTTTGATGTTCTTTGTTCTTAAATTCATCTTGTTGTTTAAATATCATGTCTGTACATAAAGTTTCTTGTTCGTGGACTCCATGATGTTGTTCAATATTATCAACAGCTTCACCTTCATAGTTTTCTAAATCCATTGGAGCACTCGTTTGATGAGGACCTTCTTCCGTAGTTGATTCATCTCTGGATGAAGTTTGCTCTACAGATTTTCTGTTCCAACGATCTTCTTTAGTACTATTATCAGACTCTTTATCACCCCATTTGCTTGGTTTTCTAGAACGTTCATCATTGTTATCCCGATTTTTTAACTTTGTATAGTTAGTTTCATCTTTTTTGCCAGGAGTCCACTGTGATCCTTGTTTATTGTTTTGCCATTCTTCTTCTTCATTTATTGTTCCACGTTTCCATGGTTTTTGTTGTTCATCCCATTCTGGGTTATCATCACGTCTCCAACGCTTTTGTTGATTAGGTCCTTCCCAATCTTCATTTCGTCGTCGATTACTATTACCTCTCCATGGAGAGAGTCTACCACGACCACCCCATCCATCTGAATCACGACTACCTCCTCGACTTCCCCATTTATCTGTTTCACGACCACTTCCTCGACCAACCCAATTATCTGAATCACGACTTCCTCTATTAGCAGGTACATTATTGTCCATCCAATTATCTAAAACAAAAGTTAAACATATTAAATAAATTATGCAATATTCATTTCAGTATTTTGTACCTCGGCCACGGCCCATTAAATTCTGCATTAATGGCGGTCTTAAATTACCTCTTCCCATCATACCTCCTCTATTCATACTTTGGTTCTGCCAAACAGGGGGCGGTCCATTATTATCCCAATTAGGTCCATTGTTGGCATCCCAATTGGGTGGACAATTGTTATTATCCCAGTTAGGTGGGTTAAATCCTCCACGACCTCTAAATCCTCCACGGCCTCCACGATTCCATCCTCCTCGTCCTCTCATATTACCATTGTCCATAAGTGGTCTTGGACCATCTAAAATTAAATTAAACAAATAATATAATATAATACATATCCTTGAAAATATATATTTAACAATTGTTTGTATAATTTATTTAATTACCTTGCCCTAGTCCTTGTGGAAAATTTTGAGGGGGCATATTGAACATTTGATTGGGAAGTGGTCCATTGTTAGGCCCAAACATGCCAGGTTGGAATGGAGGATTACCTATGTTGTCTTGAATCACATGTTCAAGGATTTGATGCAAAGAATTATTTTGTATCAAAATATCTTTCACAGTATCTATCTGTGCTATATTAGGAGCTTGAGCTATTCCTAATCCTTCTTTTACTGATAACCTACCAATGTTATTTGTATTGTCAACTTCTTCATTAACTTTATCACCCCAGCGTGATGATTTTCTTTCTCTTTGTTCAGGCCCTTTAATACGATTTCTTGGATCTTGTCTTTGAGACAAATCATCTCTTCGCCCACGATCATTTTTAATATCTCTATCTGAAAATCTATCAATTCTTTCTCTATTGTCGAAATTACGATTCCTATGATCTAGTCCATGAATTCTGCCACCTCGTTCATTATTTCTATCAGAATCTTTAGAATCTTCCTGATCAGAGTTGCCTAATGCATTAGGATCATATTTATCATTACCAATATTTGTATTACTTCCAATTCGTGCAAAATCATTTAAATTTGGAAGTTTCGGAGGAGGAGGTAAATTAAATTGCATAAGGGTTGATGGGTCTAACTGATTTGGAGGATTTGTTGTGTTAAGATTATCCTTTTGACTTGTATTTTGAGTAAGTGTAGGAGCAGAACTAGTTCCGGATGTGACAGTGGGAGGATTCATCCCCATCATTGTCGGAGCAGAAGAAATAGCTGCAGCTAAAATAAATAAATATATATTAAATAAAATTGGAATCATTAAAGGTACTTAAAGATAATTTAGACTTTAATTTATAAAATAAAAAATAATTTGAATGTATTCAATAATTTACAACAATTATAATAATAAATATAATATTTGCATTATTGCCTTTATTTATTTACTTTGAGATGGTAGATTCATACCAAAAGGAAAAGACATCATCATATCTGGAGGTACGCCAAGTGGTTTTTGTGCATCATTAGACATTGTCATTTGTTGAGGGTTTCCCATCATGTTCATGTTTGCTAAAATGCTAAGGTTAATTAACTGTTTTAATAAATATTTCTGCTAAACATTAACTTACGCGGAGGTCCAAACGGTGATGGCATTCTATTCATCATCATCATAGAAGGGTGACCCATCCCCATTGGAGGCATAGTTCCAGGCATCATAGGATTCATCATTGGATTAATCAATCCTAAAAAGAAGTAAGCATAAAAATTATTATTTAACTCTTATTGATGTTACGAATATGCAACAGCATCAAATATTACTGTAATATTTTGTTGCCGTGTATACACTTACTTCTTATTTATAGTATACAGAAAAGAAATCTTCAATAAAAAAAAGATTTCAATGATGTAAATTTAATACAGTATGGCCGGGTATAATTATATTTTAGTTTAATAGTCAAAGGGCTAAAAAAAATATTGAAGTTTACCAATTGTACATACTAGGATTGATTCCGAAAGGATTAGGCATGCTCATTGTTTGTGGCATATTGAAATTCATCTGACTTGGCTGACTGTTCTGAGCAGGAGACATTTGCATATTTTGAACACTAGGAGATTGAACACCTTGTGGATCAAAAAAGTTAGATGTATTTAACGGCTGCTGACTTCCTTCAGTTAATTTTTCTTCTTCTTTTTTCTCATTTTTCTTTGATGTGCGCAAGTTTTTTAAATGAGCTGAAATTTAGTTTAGAAAAAAAAACAACTTTATCTTAATGCCTTTAAATTTAAAACTGTGCTCACAGACACTATTTACAACATGCATTACTACAAGAAGTGCCCAGGCAGGCAATCAATTAAATGTTTATGTTGTAAATATTATCCTTAAAGCAGTTTTTAAGTATTCATAAAATAGCTTACTTTTAAGCCATTCAGGCATTGTATCTTCATCTAACATTCCTCCAACTTCCAACTCATCATAGTCTATTTCCTTATTTAATTTCTCCCAAGGTATATATGAAACTCCATCATCAATTTCCCAATAATCTTTCCATTCTTTATCTTTCATTGCTTGACCCGGAGCCCAAGCAATCTTTATTAAATTAAAATACTAATTATAATAAAATGTTTTGATTTATTTCATAACCATTGTTAGTACATATGGTATTTGGTGTACTAGTATTTTGAGCATGTGGAACATGTGTAAAAAATTCTCAATCAATTATATTTAGACATCCAATGACAAGAATATGCGCATGGGGTAAAAATGTCCCCAATTCATAAACTTACTGTCAATAATGGAAACAATTAAGCAATTAAACACATTTTGAATTAAATGTTTAGCAGAAATCTATGACAAAGATTTAAATAGATCTCCTTAATTAATTTTAATAATAATCAAAAATGAAAATAACATCAATTGTAGAGTTAAAAAAAAATAATATACAGGGTGATTTTTTTATCATGAAGTATTTTAAGTTTAGACAAGCGGAGTAGTGGACAAACATTTTGCGGGGTAACCACGTACCACTCCACTCCGACAATCAAACTTTAAATACTTATATCTCATAAACTACTCGTCCAAAATTCGATTTTTACATATCAAAATACTTAGAAAAATATTCTGCTTTGGAATATGAAATTAAAACTCTAGGTTGTCATTCAAAAAAGTAAAAAACTTAAACAATTATAAGGATAAAAAATATTTAAAAACATAATTTTTTTATAAAAATGTTGTTTTTTTAACAACATGAAACTTTGTAAAAAAATATTTTCAAAAACATTGATACTTTTTGAAATAATGAGTGGTTCATGATAAAAAAATCATCCTGTATAGATAGTTTGTAATTTATAAAAACTTTAATCCCACATATTTAATTGTAACTGTACAGAAAATAAATCACTGTTAAGAGTATGTAACAGTGGTATTTGTTGTCTTCGTCTTACCAATGCGTAATATACCAAATTTACGCTCAGCAGAACACTTGTAGCTCCTTTAGTTTAAAAATTACAGTGAATCGACCTATTATGAAACTTGATGGTAAGAACATTATCTGTGTTTGTACGTTGGTTTTTTACGATAATTCAATTTTTAAGTGAGCTTTGAGTATTTTTAATGTATTGTATATTATATGATCATAACTCACTTAAAAACTGAATTATCGTAAAAAACCAACATACAAACACAGATAATGTTCTTACCAACAAGTTTCATAATAGGTCTAATCACTGTAATTTTAAAAACTAATGGAGCTACAAGTTCTGCTGAGCGTAAATTTGTTATATTACACACTAGTAAGACGGAGACAACAAATACTGCTGTTACGTATTCTTAAGTATAATTTCGAATTATTACTTTGCGATACTATACGGACAGATAAATTATGTCCCATAACATATAAACATATAAAATAAATGGTATAACTTTTTAAAAATGTAAATAATATTTATAAAAAGATTATATTGTTGATAAATACCGTCATAGGTTTCCCTTGTAATCTTTCTCCTTGATATTTACTCATAATACGAGCAGCATCTTGTCTTCGGTTCATACACAAAAAAGCACACCCTCTAGGTGATATTAAATTTAATGAAACTATGTCACCAATTGGTTGAAATAATCCATATAAATCATCTTGGTGTATGAGTTTTGATAAATGTCCCACCCAAAGAGTAGTGCTTACAACTGTAAATATATAAATTAAACAACAGTATGAACAAGATCAAAACATTTTTTTACCAGCTAAATGATTTTTTTTTAATGGAGGTAGATATTTTTTTCTTCTTTCTCTATCTCTTTCTCGTTCCTTTTCTCGTTCGCGTTGGCGTTCACGACTACTCTTCCTAGGAGATCTTTTTCGAGATGGACCTGATGAATAACCATCTCGCCTTGATTCTCGTTTATTCTGAGGAGGTGATGCAATATGATCTAGATCTATTACTTCAGGTTTTGATTGGTTTGGATCATCATAACTATTATACAAAATATAAACAAATTATTTATTGTAAGAAGTCACACTAAAAAGAAGTAATAGCTAATCTGAATAAAAATATATACATAATCTGGGTTAAAGGTTTATGATGATGTTCTGATGACATCAAAGGTTGTTGTTGTTGATATACTTGTGCATTGAACAATTGATTTATATATGGGTTTGACAACATTCCACCAGGTGCTTGGGGGATCAAAGGAGCTGGTTTTAATTCACATTCAGAAGCAAATGGTAAATTCTGAAATTAAGACTAAGATTAAAGATCATGAAATATTAAATAAATAGTTAGCAAAATTATTCATTAATATGAGCTTGACTTAATTCTAAGTACTTACCGAGCTGGAATTGATTGCTCGGAAACAGGATCACTCGTTCATAATATAAACCTACCTTTCGATGACTCGTTACCGCTGAAATTTTTATTTGGAGGAACAACTAAACAAAAGTAAGCACAGGGACTCGTGTTTGGACTGACAATTTGATTCATTGAAATTTTCAAAGAATAGCTTAATAATACTATGCTAAAGCTACACATGTACTATTTTTGGTAATCTTACCTGAACAGTCTGAGCAAGATGCTTGTCAAATTCMGCTTCTTTTCTCATTTCTTTTATCTTGTCCAACTCTGCTTGCTGTTTAGACTGTGAAGACATTAACCCTTCGACATTGCGCAATGTGCGCAGAACTTCTGGGTTATTCAATAGGCTGGATTTAAAAAATACAAAACAATAGAAAATATCTCTACAAACTTGAATCTTGTTCAAAACCGAAAATGTCAATGAATGATAGTTACTAACAACTTCCTAAGTATGGTTTGATTAATTTTTTAATTTGTACTGTCCAAAAAAATAAAACAAAAATATTCAGCAATGAATTAACTTTAAAATTATTTACAATCACTAATTTCCCTTTCTAATCAAGTATTTCCTGAAAATATCTCTATTATTAAATAAATGGAATTGGCCATACACTTAAACAATAAGATGATCAAAAAAATATTATTAGCTAAATATAAGTTTGGAGAATAATATAATTGGTATAACAKTCTATGAAAAAACACCAATATTTTCCAATGAGTTTTTTTTTATTTGATGTACATTTAAACATATCATTTATGGTAGTTTTCTACCAATTAAGTTAAAAAAATCATGCAATCCAAACACGAAGTATGTGCATAACAATTAATAAATAATATAAGTATTAAGTTCCTATTATTAAATTAAACATACCGAAGCCCTATCAATGGATAATGTCTTCAATCATGCCTATCTTCACCTAATATGTACATCCCATCTTACCCATTTTCTTAGTGTTACTTTATGTAACAGATTGTAGATTTATGTATGATAAAAATATTTTTATTTTTTTTAAGTTCCTATTGAAATACTATGTAGATTTGTAAATCATAAAAATGTTACGTGAATGACTTTTAATATATTGTTGACAGTATACTTTTAAGATTTAAAAAGATTTTAGGATAAAATATTGGTTATAAGTGTATACCAGTAGATATCAAAATATTAAAAATGTTAAACATACATTTGAATTGTTTTTGATATGAATAATATGCCTAATAAAAATTAAAACTGATGCTTATTGTTTCAGATTTTTAAGTTTAAATGGTTATTACTTAAATGAACACATTATTTTTTATCATTAAAAAGCAGCAAATCCAGCATACATATAATCTATATAACATAATATAGTGTGTAGTTCAATAAAACMTATTTTACAGCATCCACCATCTGGTATTCACAGATAGTGGAAATATTTTATTTTAAATAATATATCTTATACACATAAGTTACATAACACATACAACTGTACCTTTAAAATAAATAAAGCAATGTATTTCTAAGAAAAGAAAATATAATACAAACCTTTGAAGCTCATACTACTTTTCTTGTAAAGCTGTAAGAGTAGATTTAAATTTCTGAAATACCTTGGTTCCTAGATTTTTTTTTTTAACAATTATATTTTTGGTAAGATTGTAAAATTGTGTAGGTAAACATTTTGATTTAGTGATTTAGTAGTTATGTTAAAACAATTAAATAAGTAACTCAGTTTTATAACATACCTATGAATGAATAATCTATAAATGAATATATTTGAATATATAAAACAAAATATAGTTAATGGTTTTGTATTTATTTTTAATACTTAAAAAACTAAAAACTAATAAGCCTTGAATATTATTTTAAAGTAAAATTAAAAAGATTTTGTTGTAATATAGCTATTTTTTAAAGTTTGAAAGCATCATTTTCTGTATGCTTATAATTAAGCAAAAAATATATATATATAAAAAGAACAAACCTGTCAATTCCTTCAATGGCAGTACTTTGATGTTGCTGTTGTTGGAATACTGGAGATTGATTAAGCATTTCATCTTCATCATCACCATAATCATAATCAAGAATTTTTTTATCAAACAATTTCACCTTAAATATTCATTTAGAATCAAACCTTATTTCTTAGAAACACTAATAATTATATCTTACTGCATCAGATTTTTTTACTTGAGGAGATGTTGATGACTGTTGCATATGGCCTGGTTGTTTCTTCAACAATGATTGAATAGCTTGTATATGTTCAAGTATAGCTGGATCTATTGGTTTACTATCAGTTTCTAAACTCTGTGACTACAATTAAAAAAAAAAAAAAAAACAATGAATTATACATGCAAATTGTTATTCTTATTAATTAATTATTTTGTTTTTTTTTTTATAATCAATCTTAACTATATTTACCTGTAGAGTGTCAAAATGTTTAGACATGTCATCTTTAACAGGGGTATTTTCTTGACTTTTAAAAAGATCTGTCTTAACACCTGTTAAAGAATAAAATATTTAGTCAAACAAAAAATAACTTTATAAAAAGAAGTGGAAATATTTTATAGCTTTCTGAATAAATGAACAATTCTAAAATATATAATATGATTAACAAATTATCTTGTTTAATTTATAATTTAAATGAGAAAAAGATAATATATTATAACATTATATAATATGTTGAATCATATCATAATTAGATCTACTGCAAATTAATATAATAATGTCTATTGTAATATGAATACAAATATTTAATAATATAATTACTTATTTTTGGACTATTGTCCATTGATGATAATGGATTTGTTTGAGAATGTTCGCCATAATCAGGATTGGCAGCCAAATCAAAAATAGGTTGAATGATATCAGTGGTAAATACAGCATTCTTTTGCCATAAATTTAATACTCGAATTACTTTACTCTACAAACATACACATTAGAGTTACTAAATATTGTTTTAACTAAAATGATTTTTTAACGCACTTTATCTTCTTCTGGACAAGCAAATAAGTGTGTAAAAGTCTGTTTGAGATTACGTGCAAATCTAGGAGCAAATACATCTTTGTCATTTCCAAATTGATGCCTTGATTGCCTTACAATTGAATCAATTACATATAAACCTGGTATTTTATACTCAGGTTTGCACTTAAAAAAAAAAACAGATGTTAGGTAGGTACTTTAAAGTACTAATTTATTGGGTTTATAAATTTATAATTTCAATTTACCTTTTGTATAAATTTTTCTACACATTGAACAACATGTTTATATAACTTGATGGCTTTGATAGCATTTCGAGTAATCGCAGTCATTTTTGCTTTTGATATAGGTGGCTTCATCTCCATAATGGAATAAAGCTGAAAAACATTAAAAAACTGAATTATGTAACAGCAGATACCTAATAACAAGTTAACACCAATATCATCGAAAGTATTATAAATATTAAAATTTCAACAACCGTCGCGTTTGCCTACAGCCCAAGGGCTCAAGGCAGACGGTCTAATCGTCTTGATCAGTTCATTTTAACTAATCATCAACGAGATAAAAAATATCAACTTTTATGTTGGAATCAGAGTTAAGACTACGATAGAGCACGCATTCAAACAGGGTATAAGTCGATTGTTGTTTAGAGTATTAGGCCACCCTAAGCAACCGGAAAGTTCACAAAATATTCACAACAGGTGTGGTACGCTTTCGTCTGACTTACCTCAAACGTAAAAGCTTTGACCGCCTCCATTTTGGCACGATGACGGTTTTTCGAGAAAAGATTAGCGACAAGAGTCGAAAATCCTCGACGACGGAAATCGAACGAGAAATCTAGAACATGACGAACACAAGTACACAACTGCGGTAATATCACTCAAATTCGATCAAAACAAAACGCAAAAAAAAAACCCTAGCCGGAAATCACAATTTTTGGTGTATTACGATATGGTACACAACGTTTGACACTTCAAGAATCAAAAGTCAAGACATCGAGATTTGGGATCGGACGACGGTAAAGCGTACTGCGCGACAGCTTACGATATGCACAAGCACAATGCACGCACGCGCTGATCGGACAGCAGCGGGCAGCGGCACAAGTTCAGTTACAGTGCAGCCAGTCTGGATAAACGATAATTTCTCTCTTGGCAATTAGAATCTCAGTAATCATCGTATATAATCTCCCACGATACACACCAGATTAACATAAAATAATGGCGGTTATTTAAAAAACTTAACATAACATTTAATAATATTATTATTAACGTAGTGTAGTATATTATTATACGGTATGGTAGACGGAAAACAAAGTCCCACACTAGGAAAAAAAAGTTAAGTGTAAAATTTACCGAAATACGTTTTCTTTTATAGTTCTATAGTAAGTTATACTTAGTATTTCAATGTGTATAAAATGTTTGTTCATATATATTTGTTAACTACCATAATAACTAGGGCTATGATTTTGATGCAAAGGCATCTTTTTTTTTGGTGTTTTGAAACGTTTGTTCGTAAGTAAAATTATATACGACCTATATTTTCACATTCATCGTGGATTGTACATAATACAAAATTATTAGGAGGACATCGAACAAATAATATGACTGAAGGATGGAATAACCGTTTTGCAAAACTGTGGACATAAGCATCAGACTATATCGAAATTTATTTGAAAAATAAAAATGGAAATTTCCATTAAATTAGCTTTAGAGTCTAGATGCTATAGGAGATTCAAGAACTGTTAAAAAACTAAGATAAACTCTCACAACAGAAACACTTCTGAAAAACTTATGTATACAAATACTACCGGGCAAAATCACTAAATCAGTAGGTATAATAATGTTCATGATAATTGACCCGGCAAATCCAAGGGAGGGGGAAACTGCCTCTACTTCCCCCCTGTTAGTTGAACTATAAAATATTGTTATTAGTTTTTGAAATCGGTGCAAACTATTTGCGCCCATCACACCTTTTTTTATAACCCACTTGCACCCGAAATCATAACCCATTTGCGCCCAAAATATTTTTAATAAAAATGTGTTAAACCCGTGTGACGTTGCCATACTGTATTTTGGAATACAAGCAAATAAGCAAAACTACTTATAACCTTATAAAGTTAAAACTATTGTACATATTATTTTTCCCGTAAATATTTTTTCTATAATATATAAATAACGACTTTTTTCATACGATTTTAATATTAAATTAAAATACATAAAATCAAAAAATATTATTTGTTGAAACTTAAAACAATTCACTGTTATTTAAATTATAATTTTCAATAGTCGATCGATGAAATTTTCCAAACAATTATTATTTTAAAGTTTTAGACTTATTTTATGCTGTTTACATTTACTATTCTCGAYCATTTTAAACGCACCTAATACCTACGTATATAGGGGATTGGAGAATAACCCACTATCGTACGAGATTAACTTCAGGTTAACTAAATTTAAATCGTGAAAGGCGTTACTAAAAAATGTATTTACTCATAGTCAATTTATTATTTTATAAACATTTAAAAAAAAAGTGATTAGATTGCAAATGTAGATCAAGTCATGTGGTTAAAACAAGTTGTATTTTATGTATTAATATACATATGTAAGTAAACAGAAGCTTTCATTATAACAAATAGATCGAACGAAGATGAGCGCTGCGCGAATTAGTAAGTAGTAAGTACATTAGAAATGTATGGGCTACAATGTACGCAACGGGCCATGCCAATATTATTACATGGACACGTTCAGGTTCAAGACGAAAGTTCGTGAAATATTAAAGTTTAAAGTTTAATAAAGTGCGTTTTCCAGTCTACCGCGACTACGCCGCGTGAGCCCCGTCACGGAGACAATTATGGGCGTGCAGGTTACGGCCAGCCACGATGGCGGCGATACGAAACACAACGCCATAATATCTTGAGCGTTGCATGATTTTTTTTTTTAGTGTTGCGCCCTCTTAACATCTGTATTTAAGTCACAATGTAAAAGTTGCAAATTGCGATTAGTATATGATTGTTGTATTATTACAAAATAATATATTGATTGTATATTGTATTATTATAATTATTATAACATTTTATCATTATATATTTATTATAATATATTCAGTGGCGGTTATCCTATACCTCAAGTGTATCGACGGATACACATGATTTTGGGGTGGGTGAGTAGATGGTTAACTGCTTGACATATTATAGGTATTATATTATAATACAGTGTAAATAGCAAATAATATACATAATTTATTATCTTGCTGTATTGCTCTAATTAACGATGGTTTCAGTAGTAGTAATGCAGTCACGAGACATGCAAGTATGCAACATGCACTGACGCTTGGGGAATAGTCATGGTGATACGTTGTATTAGAATTTAGAATATATAGGTGTATAAATGTATAATAAATTATTATTACCTAATAATACATTAATATGTATGTGTGTAAGGAAAGGTGGGTGGGTGGGTGTCAACAGATTTTATTAGTTTGGATACACATGGTAAATTTACTGTAGCCGGCACTGAATATATTATATAATATTTTATTATGTTTATTATTATTACCTATATCAATATATCAAAACGATTATTAATATGACGTGACGTGTTCGACTGTCAATCGTTAGGTAAACAAATAATAGGTAACAATTAAAATCAAGTCTACATATATTATTATTAAATATATTATATTATTATATATTATTAAATCTGAGACTTTTTCACCGGGTATACTTATGTTTAATATTGACATTTTAATAGGTATTAGGTATATTATACTTACATTTGTGACTTATGAGAAGTAATTTTTATGTTTTAATAAATATCCACGAAATATGAACTAGGTTTAATGGGATCCTGTTAATGATTCAAAAACTTTAAATCTCATCAGTCTGGTATAGATACTAATATTATTGATCATTTTATCGTAATAACTTAAGCCCCATTTTTATGTGTAACCACGAATGTATACAAGACAAGTGTGCACTACGATTTGAACGTGTGTTCACTGTGGTCTACAAAACAAAAATCAAATATTATACTAGCTACTAGGAAATATTAGTATTTCCTGAATTGTATTGTTTTATTTTATACAAAATAATATAAGATTATATATATCTAATGCATTGCATTTTCTAAGACGATAACGAGAATAAAATTTCAGTTTAAAGCAATAATATTAAGTGTGCAGTCTGACATTTTACAATTTACAAATAAGGTCTGTAAGGCTGTAATAATTTATTCTGTAGTTGAATTAAATTATGAGTATAATACTCTATGCACGTATTAAGAAATTGAGGTATTTGATTCAAAATATGCTCTTACCATTCTTACCCAACCACCATACCATATTACCATATTAGGTAGGTATCATGTGTCCATGTATTTATACTTACATTTTTTATTTATCATTATTTATAAAATATTTAAAACTCAATTTGCACTCTGTACTCAGTACTCTGTAGTCTGTAGTAAAAATATTTTTACGCATTTTATATTAGTTTTAGTTCAAATTAATTTTAGAGGTTCTGATGTAGGGTATTTAATTTCTCGATGTCAAATACCATCGATATTTGCATGATTTTTTTGTGAACATTAATTGATGTTTTATTTTTATTTTTTTGACATCTTAGTATCTTACATACTCTTATCACTATCACAACGTTATCTCATGTTTATTTGAATTTACGTGGGTATCATTATTCAATATTCTTTTTAATTTTTTTGTGTAGTGGTCAGTGGGTAGTTAATGTCTATGCTTTATTGCTTTAATGGTTTACGGTGATTACGTTTACAGGGGCATTTACAGAATTTAGTTTTTAGTAATTTAGTTAAAGTATATTTTACTAATTACAATAAGTTTAAATATTATAAACCTCCAATCTTCGAAGTGTGCCGTGAGTGAATGAGTGATACAGTTTTACTGTTCAAAATTTCGCATCATAATAAATGTTATTCTAGTTTCCACCGATAATCTAATAACAATGCAGTGTTTTGCGTTGACCATTAGATAAATCTCTTAGTGTAAATCATCATTGTCGGTTGTTGCCAATATGTTTGAATACACGTCCTTGTTGGTCTACACTCTGTTCTTTATGATTGTGTCGGCTTGTTTTATGCTCAGAACTACCGAGTTTGTGTCCAATGGTCTAACCGTTGAGAATCTGCTTGATACAGTGATCGACAAAGAGTATAATAATTTCATATTGCATCACATCAAGCGAACATCATACAGCATTATTGTACATTCAAGCCTACCATTTGGTTGGTGTTTAACATTTGAATTATATTGTATCGAATACATTATAAAAAATAATCATAAATATGTGTTATTTATAAATTTATAATTGTTATAATAACTGTATCATAAATGTTAATCTAAATGTGTGTGTTTTTTCAGCTTATTTACTAGGCACGCTGCTAGTTAATGACAATGAAAAAGCATTTGTTAGTGTTTACTTTTATGAGTTGATGTTTTTAGCATTGTTACCAATTGGCTATAGCTTTTCAATAGTTTCTAAATGGAAATTGAATAATTGGGGTAATCATCCATTATCAATTATTTTGAGTCGTTATAATTTGGTTGATTGGACACTTATAGCTCAAAACATTTCTACCGAATATCAATGGTATGTTAAACTATATTCTACGCATTCAATACTATTTATGAATTTAAATCCAGATATTCTGTATAAGTAGATATATTTTGGGTATATTTAATCCCTTTTAAGTGCTTACCAAAAAATGTAATAACATTTTATTTTAATAGTATACTTTTTGTGATTTACATTTGTGTTGAAGTCTTCAAAAATTGACGTTGTCTTATGGTACAACAAATAGAACAGTTGTTACTGAAAACTGGATAATATCAATAAAACCTTACATGGTTTATGTCTCTAAGAAATCAGAAAGTTCTTTCTTAGTGTATAGTTCAGATATCCACAATTCTACACCTGATGGCACTCCTGGTAGTATACAGTTCATCAACATTCAAGTGATACCAATTCGATCTCAAATTAAATGGTTTATTGTTAGGTAAGCCAAATGATTAATTAATTTTCTTGTTTTTCACTAAAATGCATAAGTAAACTTTTGAGTCTTTTGATTCTTTGAACAGAATAAGATCTGAAGACTTTAAAACACTAGAAGAACATATTGGTCATCCTATACAGATTGCGGAAAACGTCAAGTTACAGCGCTCAAGAACAGAACGTTTCATTGAAGTGTTTCGTGATCAGGTCTCCCAAAATCCAGTATATAATGGTTACAGTTCAGCAGAAGTATGTTCAAACAATTAAACTAGATAACATTTTATTCATATAATAAAATTTATCACTAACCTATATATTTATTATTTACTAAATATTTTTTAAGACTTAAATCATGAATAACCAAATTATGCATTATCTATTATCTTTTAAATATGTGATTTTGATAACCTATCTATTTTTTATTAAAAAATATAACGCATAATAATATGTTTAATATCAAAATAATTACCTATATAAATGTAAAACATTTTATCGCGGTTAAAATATTTAGTTTTTCAGTTTTTAATTCGTGATATTTCATTTATCACATTATTTAATTATTACTACCTAAAAAAATAACTTGAACATTTAGTAGAAAACATTTTTGACTATTTAGAAATCTATTTCAGTGATTTTAAGAGATAGAAACAATTGATTCAAGCTAGTAATAAGTTATAAATGTTAATAATTTTACTATTTGATGTTTAATAAAGTATATTAAAATTGAGTAAGAGATTATATTACTCTAATATTATTTTTTAGTTAGAAGATGATGTGTGCGCTGGTTGTTTGGTGAATCCTCCAGACGTTAAACTTACTAAATGTTGTGAAGATAGCAATGACATAGTAAATTGTACTTCGTGTCAATGTAGACCTATGTGGTGTGTTGATTGCATGGCCAAATGGTGAGAAAGATTTATCAATATTGTTGAATTGGAAAAATTAAATTAAATATTAATTTTAGGTATGAATCAAGGCAACCTCAAAATGACACAACCATATGGTTATCATCAAAATGTACTTGTCCACTCTGTCGTCAATTGTTCTGCATCCTTGATGTTTGTCCATTGCAAAATTCTGATTTAGTTAAAAATAATTAAGTACTATTGACAACACTACTACTGTGATAATGTATGTAGTATAAATAGTATCCTTTAAGTTTTTAATGTTTTGTTATCTTAAATATTTAATTTGTTTTGATTTAAACTTATAAAAAGATTTAAAACTATGTAAAGACATTTATTTTTATTGTAACTAATTACTAAATAAAATGAAATAAAAARAAAAATTAATATATTTTAATATATTAACCAATAAAAGATGTTATATTAAAATTAAACATACACAATGCTTCAAGTTTTAACACTCACCAATAAATTACCACAGTCACATTGATAATTGTAAATAATTACACTGATTGTAGACATTGTAGTCAATTGTACTTAAATTTGAAAATATTGAGTCATTTTATAACCAGTAATATTCTATAAAAATTTAAATTTTAAGAAATAATATTCCGTGGTTAATGTTATGTTATAAAATAATAAGTGAACAAATATATCCAAAATATAAAAATAAAAAAACAGATCTTTAATTTAACAATAGATTTATTGACTTGGGAGTTTTAACTAGTTGTAATTTATTAAGACCTTAAATTCAGGATGATAAATTATAAGCTAAATGTTTTAAATAATGAACATGATTTAAATAACTTAGAGAATTTGATATTTTAAGTATAGACTATTATATAAGAAAGAGGTAAGATCTGTTGTGACTGCTGTCACTAAACACAAAAATAATAAAATTATTTAGGTTTATTCATGCTTTAGTGTTGTTTTCAATTATCCATTAAATTTGAAACAATGCTTCAGTTTATAAAATCTCAATTATTTAAAGTTGTAAAGGTTTGGTACTTAAATAAATATTATAATATTTTGACTTGTTGAAAGTATTTAAAAGGGTTTTTTAATAATAAGACTATGTTCTTATAAAACATTATTTCTAATTAAACCATTTTGTCTACTAAGTTCTAATTTTGTGTATTAAATAGAAAATATTTAAACATGTGACAATTTTAATGGTTTAGCCCCCCCCCCCCTAAACTTATAGGTAATAATAATAAATGGATATTTAATATTTATGATATATGTTTCATGGACACTGGGAATTGTTAAGTATTTAAGTATGAAATAATATAGTATTGTTTGTTTTTGCTGTAATTCCTTGATTTTTAGGTTAGGTTATTAAAGTAAAGTAAATCTATGATGAAGCAAAGGTTTAGTAAAGTAGTCAAAAATGTTCAGTGAAATAAAAAAAAAAAATCCTGCTTCAAATAATTCTAACCTTCAGATTGCAAAATTTGTTAATAGAAATTATTGTGTTCATGAGGACTGTTAGGTGCGTTAATTTTGAAAAATGACATACTCCATAAATATTCTTGAAACATTTTCATTGATTTTACAGTATTTGGATTTCAACTCTTTATATTACTCTAAACCTTTTTTTTTTACTTATAAAATATAATTTTTTTTGTACCTCTTAACATAATACCGAAAATACTAATTATACTTTTACTTTGAAATTTTAAATTTTTAAAATATCTTATCAATAGGTAAGGTGTACAACAATGACTTACGGTATTCAGAACAAAATCAACTATATATAGCTAGGTACAACCTATTTAAAGTTTATTTGATAATATTATCTTAACACCTAAATTGTATGTACATTTGACAAGTAAATACAAATCACATGTAAAACATGTAAATATCGACTTACTCTAATGCAGTTTTCGGCAATAAACTTTTCGATATAGACTGGACTAACATTTTCTTTTTTCAAACCTATTTAGTCCAAAGCATCAATCCGGAATTAATTAGGTATTCCAGTTTTGCAATTTTTCAAAGTTGAAGAATCTAGATGTTTAGGTTCTATAATAATGGTTCTTTCGGTTTGTTTTTTTTTTAAATTTTACTCTTGATTAACGTTTGACTTCAAGGAGTGAGACAATTGATTTCTAGACACTCCAAATTAGAATTTTCTCTTTTTTTCATAATTTTATCATGAAATAAAAACATTAGAGACACACTCGGAGACTTTTTTTTCGCGTACTTTTTCACGCGATATGAGTTTAAGTCTAACATTAATTATTGTTACTTACGAATAATACAGAATGTCACAATCTTTTGGGGCATTTTATGGTTGACCAGAAAACTTAATATTCAAGTATCCTATCTATTTGGACGTTTTTATGCCTTTCGGTTATGGTAGTTTTAAATTGTGGTTTAATGAATATAAAAATTAGGTGTTACTATTGAAGTATTGAAGCATGTATATTTGAATTTGAATGTTTTTGTTGATGTTTATATTATGCAACAATAAAGATGATTATGTTACCTATACCACTATACCATATAAATATATAATATTGTACAAAGGCGATGATACATTTTTATGAATATAATATATTATATATATTCAAGTTTAAGTGCACAATAAATAATAATTAACAATAAGAGCCGGCCGTTCTCATAGTATCGAACAAGTCGTATATATTCATTAGTAACGAACATTGAATAGTACAATAATGAGTTATCAATCGCAGAATAAAATCATACAAAACTTAGTATAGCAAAAAACTATTGTTGTATCTTGCAGCACAACCATCATCCAGGGCGGTGGCGTAGCCAGGATTTTTTTTCAGAGGGGGGGGGTCTGAGGGGGCTACGCCACTGATCAAGGGTATTACAAATGTGAATTAGTTATAATAATTAATAACATTGATTTAATCAATGGTAATAAATGAGAAAAATGTAGCGATGTAGGTATGTTTAGTAATAATTAGTTATTCATTCTGTAATAGTATGGGCACGCGTCTTATTAAAAAAAAAAAAAACAATATTTCTCAATCGAGAAAATTATAAAAATTATAAAATGTGTTAATAAACATTTTTGCTCTTGATATCATTGTATTTATACATGTGGTTCGTAGTCTCGTAGATGTACCTACCTATTCATGTCGACCACCCCTGGCATATATATGTAGGTATTTACTATCTACATTGTAGGTACATATATTAAGTAGTGTATACGTATAAATATAAACCGATGTACCTACCTCCATTATAGGTATGTATATTTTTAACCAATAGTAACCGACCTATTAATGTCTTTAATCATAGTACATATTTTGTATCACAAAAACACAATATTTTTGTTAATGAATAAAATTAATGTAAGTGTAATTAGGTACACTCTCACCAAAATTTTCAACCACATTATTATAAATTATAATAAATATATTCATACATTTTACTAAGCACCCCAAAAATATTCTGACTGAACACGCCTATGATCAAGGTATGCAGTGCTATAGGTACTATATAAACAATCTTTTAAGTAAGTACAGACAATTTTATGGACACTAATATTATAGTCATTAATATATTATGTGTAATAATAAAACATTCGTTTCTTATACTTGGGTAGGTATATTCTAGATAATTGGCCATTGACATTTCATTAAAATATAAATACACCATTTATAAATCAAAGTATATCATATACTCGTATATCCATGGCATAGGAGACTATAATATTACATCTATAATATATGAATAGTTTAATTTATTTAAAAACGTATTTTTCTTTTTAAATAATATCTATAAACATGACAGTTGCGTGAATTTTCGTGTTCTTTCAGTTCTTTGATGTTGTATACCTTCCAACCTTCCTGAATAGGTTTATGATATCATTATAGTAACTTACACAATTGTACACACTACACAATGTGCTTCAATTTGAGTTAACCAAGTCCGATCGTAATTTAATTATTTATATTTTACCTAATCACAATATAATTATGTGCGTTTTACATCAAGACGCGACGTTATAGAAAATAAACACTAGTTAATTAATTATTTAAAAACCATATGTATATAATATATAACCATATTATATCCTGTAAAAATATATTATAATATATGCAGATTTAGAGGGAAAAGGTTTCAAGTCACTTCGGTAAATATTATTTGTATTACAACAAAATGCAGAGCCATATTTAACGTGGAGCAACTGCCCCAGGGTGGCACATTTTAATTTGCATTTTTCTTATTCTGTCGCAGTACACTAACACCCATAACAGTAGAGTTGTAGTTGTAAGACATTACGATCATGTAAAGTAAACTTTATAATGGTTAAAAATTTTAAATTTCTGAGAAATGAGAATACGACAAAATAGTAGATACCATGGTACCTAAAGCTATATCTCATCGATAACCGTTGTAGATTTCTAGAAACTCTATAGGAGCTAGGACTTTATAAATATTTATAATTACTTATACTATACTTATACAATAATATAACTATAAAAGTATAAATCTGTGGCAGCAGCTAATTTAATATATTCTGTTCGGGTAAATGAATAATTTAATTTACCAACATCCAATTCAGAGCGGCGAAGCTAATGTGTTTAGCGATAGTATCTAACCGCACAATAACAGGAGTTTCACTAGAAGAATCACTATAATTGTAAGTTTTTTTAATTATCTTTTTTTTGCGTATGGTCTGATTCTAATATATTATTGTAAATATTTCGAGACGGACGAGCGTCGTGGATACCAAAGCGCGCAATGCATAAAATAAATGGAGCAACTATAATACTGCAGCAGCTCGGCAGTTGTCGAGTTCTTTTTTACTCATTATTTGTACGCCGCCGCCCACTCATAGATAATAATGTTTGTAAATGGTAATATAAACAGTATACCCTTATGCCATGTAAATTTCGACAATTATTATTTATACTTCACACGTACATTTTATCCTAAACAGAAAGTTTTCAGATTACTTTCCCACCAACCAAAAAAAAAAAAAATATCAAACATAATAAATAAATATGTTTAAAGTAGGTAAATAAACAGTAGGTATATTCATGAAGTATTGTAGGTTTTACTATTTATGAACTTGTGGATTAGTTTGGATGGTTCAGTTTGGCACGCGACAACCATTTATTGTTTTATTGTTATTTACTTATAACTATAGGTATATTATTATCAACGACGACTGATGTATAGAAAATAGTTAAGAGGACGTTACACCCGCATTTGTTGTCTCCGTCTTACAAGTGCGTAACATTGCAAAAA